ACCTTAACAAAAACGCCAGTGGAGATCCCTCCTCTTGAAGCTAGTCACCTGTATCTAGAGTTGTTTTATCCTTATCCATGCCAACACATCTTCCAGATTCTCTTCATCCCTGTTTTCCAAAACACACCTCCAAGTTCATTAATCCCTTTCTTTATCACTATTATCATAATCATTATTCTTTCCCTCCACAGCTGTCAATCTTGGCAGGAGATAGGGAGTAGGGGAGCATTACCACTTGTCAATGCAGTTGTAATCTATATAAAGAACTGACAAATGTGGAATACTGTGAGTTTTCTCAGAATTTTAGAGGTGCCAGTGAGTATTGTTGAAATACCCAGTCATCAGTTCCCAGTTTACACAGTACAATTTTAATATCCCTGGCAGGAAATCCCACTGTACCCCCAGTAAATGGTTTTGCAGTTTGTGAACCCGTTTGCAGTCAGTGATCCTATTTTTCAAATTTTTTTTCAGTTAGCTGAACATTCTCACTACATATAAAAGTTCACAGGAAAATATTCTTCTTTTTCCTTTTCTTCTACTGCCAAATCTGTTCCTTTGGCTTCTATTTCAATAAGAGTGACTGAAAAATCCCAAAAGGTTTCTATAATCTTATTTTCTACAACTTTTTCAGCCTCACTGTTGTAATACCTTTCTCCTGTTTGTAGTCCATCCCTCTTGCACAAATGTGGAGAGCAGCAAGCCGTCACCTTAGTACGAAATACTTTATATTCCTCTTCCACCAGTTTACTGGTTTGGTTTGGTTTGTTTTTTTTCTGTTTGTTTTTTTCTGTCCGTTTCAGTGTCTCTCACTGTTGTCTGTCTTGTTGCTCTCAGCAGCAGTATATTTCTCAATTAGTTTTGAAGCCTGATCCAAAGTCCATTCAATACCATTTAAATCCTTTACGTAATTTGCTGTATGTTCATGTTCCGCAGTGAGACATCCTCCACTGCTCAAAAATCATGAGTCTCTTGCTACAGTAATTATGATTACAGTGTATGATATGGATTGGAGTCTCAGTCTTGTATGCACAGTATTTACATTTTCCAGATAGTCTCCTGGCTGGATCACTCATAAAACAGAGAGATAAGGCAGCAGGAGGGGAAACCACAAGAGAAGGCAGAATTCAATTTTAAAGACAAAGATGTCTTTAAAAGTGATGTGAAAAGAGGGTGATTCACTCAAAATCCCACAGGAGCTGTAGAACAGATCCAAAAAATGCATCTGTGACATCTGAGCTCCAGTCAGGAACAAAGCCACATAACCACAGCTTAATTTCTTTTAAAGCTTGTGTTAATGCCTGTCTTTTGCTTTCAGCCATCCCTATAAAGTGTTTTGCAACGTTCTGTTGGAAGGAGCTATATAAAGATAAATTGTGAGATAGTATTTAGTTGACACATAAACTACTCTTATTTTGATCTTTCCAAGCTGGAATTGCATTATTTTGGTTTCATCTTCAATTTTTATGTCAGCTGCAGACCAGATTCATTGCTTTTATAAGAAGGAGACATTTGCGATCCTGAGAATTTCATTGCTTCTGATATCATTTTGCCAAATGTCCCACACCACCTGAATTCCTTGCATGGTACACTGGAGGTCTGTAATATTTAACACAGAAGTCATTCTCCAATTTCTTGCATTTAGCACATGTGACATAAAAATGCACATTTTAAAGGTGAAGTTGCCAGAATTGATCTTCCCAGGAAAATATAAAAAATGCTTTTGATATCACTCTGAAGCTGAAAGATAAACAGGAACAGCTGCTAAATGTCCTTCAAGGCAACCCAAGATTCATTTCAATTACCCTGCACGGCATACCTCAGGTGCAGCACAGCATTTTCAGGTTTTATGTCTATCAAATATAAGCCTAACGCTGTGTTATTTCCTCCCACTTGTTATTGCCTCAACATATCTGACTTTTGGGGTTTTTTTTTAATTTCTTTTCTCCTGTTTTTTTAACTGCTATGCTACTGCTTTAGAGGAAATGTAGTATATGTCTGCTTCAGCTCTCGTTGCCTCAGTTAAAGTAATACTTACCTGTATATATATTTTTTTTTCTGCTTTCTTGTCTTTTAAATTTATTCAGGCATTGACCTTTGAGTCAAACTGCTATGCTGCCCACTTTATAAAGGCTAAGAAGCCTTGATTAATCACTGTAATAACTTGTCTAGCCTTTGAAATGACACCTTCATTTAAAAAACAAGAACAAATCCTAAGTATAGGTCTGTACTTTCGTTGGTGCAGTGGATTGTTTGAAGATAACCAGCGAGGAGGTTCCCACTAAAAAAGGTACAAGTGATGTAACATACAAATGAAGTATTGTTAGAAAGGTGAACATTATTTTAGCACTATAATTTTTGTGATATTTTACTATGTTTATGCACATGTTTTCCAGTGAATTAGCCGACATGAGATGAAACAGGTGAAGATTTCAAGATTTATTTAAGAGGCACATTTTACAAAATGGTTTTTTTTAAAAACAAATGATCTTCATGTCCACATGCCTTGACTACATGTAAGATTACTCTAGATACTAATGAGCTATTTTGGCATGGAGGCAGAGCATTCATTTGGGTCTCCATTCCCACCAATAAATCTCCTCCCTGAGGACTGTGCTCACTAGGAGACCAGATGACATGTCCTCAACGCAGAAATAGGTACCAAAATAGGTACTTCATTTCATCAGTGTACAGGCTTCCATTTGGCAGTGATACCCAGGACAGCTGTCTTTGCTATGCCATACTACTAACATGCAAAATTTGTCTCCTCAGCTGAGATGCTACCATGTACCAGAAGCACCTACCCAGAGCTCCTATGCCTTAGTTAATTCTGTGATGGGAAGTAGTAAGCAGCAGCTCCTACCTGACTGCACATGGGTGTCCATGGAACTTAAGGACAAAGCCCCACTTTTACTGGTTTCAAGCCTTCCTTCAACATTTACACTAGTGTATTTAGGTTTGTTAGATCCTAAAGCATTTCTTTACCAGGTCTCAGCTGGATACCATGGCTAACAGCTAAGGGCTAATACACAAATGAACCATAAGAAGCAGCTACCTAAATCACTTTGCAACTCAAATCTTCACTCTAACCCATTTTTCTCCATTCACAGTATGAATAGCACAGTCAGTCTGAGAGGCTGAATTCCAGGAGCAAGCAGATATTATACCCACTGTAACACAATCAGGCAAGCGCAGTGAAAGAGGCCAAACTCTTGCCCATTTTCACTAATGTTTTAAATGAATGGAATTAATAATTTTGTTTTCCCATGATTTCAAAAAGCCAGTAGCTACAGCCAGCTGGTGGGCAGGACAAAAGAGATGGAATATGAAATGTAAAAAAAGTGCAGAGATGCACATTGTTCTCTGCAGGCTTCATGCAGAATGTCAAGTATACGTGATCGCGTCATGTTTTCCAGTACCTTTTTTTAAGGGTCTGGTTACTATTGTTTCAATTCAGAGCATGTTAACTTATGATTTAATTCTTTTCTGTATGAAACATGTTGGTGAAACTTTCAGTTCCTTTCAGTTGCTCCTGTTCTACTCTGCTTTGGTCTCAGTCACAAACTTATTTCACGTCATTTTGCTCCAGAGTGCATCAAATACAGCTAAAATTCCCTCATATATGTAGTGCACGGACCTAAATTCTCATCCAAATTCATGGAGATGTTTAGTGAAGCATCATTATGTATGTCCACATGAAGAGATATAGAAAGGAAAAGCCCTCTCTCTTTCTCAGCTTTGGTTTGATTATTGTTTTAATTGGGTGGGAGGGGATTGAGATATTTTTTGTTTTCAGTCGAAAGGCTGAAAGCTGAGACCAAGTGTCTCTTACGTGGAATAACAGTCATTCTGTTCTGAATTTGTGAGGGGAAAAAAATTAGTTATCCAGGATTAGGAAACAATTTTTATAATACTGATGTTTTCATTCTGAATTAATTTCAAATTCTTGTTGTGTGGTTTTAGGATACTTAAAAGGTTCTGCTTGGGGGGTTATTGTTTTACATTTCCCTGATTTGCAAAGTCAAATTGATTTTCTTTATAAAGTTATGAATGTTGTTAGGGTGCTACATAAGTCATCTAATAGCCATGTTAGAGCTCTGCATTGCTGGAGCATAGAAAATCATTTCCATTGGTTAGCATGATTGCCATAGTTCTTCTGACATGGCACATGACCTTGCTATCACATACACTTGATAAAGCCTAGGCATCCTAGGTGAAGAATTGTGAAAAATTCACTACTTGCTACCCATCAGGATACAGCTTGATTTTTAGGACTGCGAAGTACTTGCTTACAGCTCCACCAGTTTTGACTGAGCTTTGGTTGCTCAAACCTGAAACATCAGACCTGTGTACTCCAGATAGTTCTGTCTCTTTCGGTTTTAAAGTGTTAATGATGAAACGTAGTAGCATGTTCTTTCTCTGCCTGCATAAATTAGATCAGAAGGAAATTGATTTTTGTTCCCTTTTCTATACAAAATGAAAAGCATCTTCATATAATGAAGAGCATCTTAATATTTGAGCTCTGTACTCACTACTCAAAATATAAGCTATGTGTTTCAGAAAAAAAATATTTCTTCTGATTGATGGTTTGCTTTAATCACATAGCCTTCTTTTAAAATTTTGATCTCGTAGGTTTTAAACAACAGACGCAATAATGCCTTGATTGTGTTGCAGGAAGATCATTGTTAGATACTGGATTGGGTTGGAACTAGATGATCTTTAAAGACCATTCCAACCCAACCCAAACCATTCTATTCTAATCCAAGTATGTTTTATAATTTTATTTTGAACATACTCTGCTTTTTACAGTGAGATTCAGGTTAGGACAGTCTGCCATGTTACCACATCCCACCTACCAGCATGCCAAGAAGGCCACCATGACTGTGGGAGGGGTCAGTACAGAATGATGTGTCATTTTCACATACACATTACTTAAAATGCCTTTTTTTGCCTCATTTTTTTCCAGGAATCATTCTTTCACTTGCTTTCTGTCTCCTTTTCAGGTGTGGATGTGTGGAGGTGGCATGTATGATGTTCCATGCTCTCGAGTTGGACATATCTACAGGAAGTATGTCCCATATAAAGTCCCTTCTGGAACCAGCCTAGCACGGGTGAGTAATTGGGTGTTGCTGGTTTTCAATTTCATTCATCATCAGTCTCTTCATTTCCTGTGAAGCAGTTTCCAGTAAACCATTACAATGGAAAATGAACGTTTTATTTTTCTGAAATGAGATGTGCAATTACTGCAGTTATTCTGCCTTTCAGAGATAAGATTGCCAGGAATAAAATAGAAGCTTAAAATTATGGGGTTGGACGTCTCAGCACAGAAGGACGTTTCATGCTGATTCAAAAGAACCTAGGAATAACCTAAGGCTTGCAGTTCTCAGACTGCAGAGTGTTGTCAGTCATAGTTTTTATAAGCAGGACCCATTTGAATGCACATTTTCTTATCAGTCAGCAGAACAGGCTGAATCTCATGGAAGGGATGTTTTCTGAGGCAAAAGGACTGAGTAACAATGATTTGAGTGACTGTTTGATTATTGTGTAAAACTTGATTGTGGAATACAGCCAGCTTGGAACTGTGAGAGTGAGAAATTACAAGACCTCTAGACATTTCTCAAAGACTACTGAACACATCCATATCCATGAGGGACTTTTTGCTCAAGAGAAAATGTTCTGTAACTTTCTGGAGATGTTCATGGGATGTCAAAAGATGGGAGATGAAGGGCACAGATGTAGCTTCCAGGCAGATACTCGTATTTTTTCATGCTTGAGTTTAATCTTTTCTGTTTTAGAGGAATTTTTTTTAATAAAATAGCATTAATATTAAAGTCTGCATATTGCCATAGGGTAATATTTTATGAATCATATTTTTTCTTAATAATGAAAATGTGGTATGAATAAAAGAATGAATTTCTTGCTTTAAGGGGGAGATATCCATGATTTCAGCACCACAGGACAAGGCTTGCTGTACTAACTGCAGCAGAAAAAGGAGACCACCTGTGCTGCTTGCCTGACAGCTGGCTAGACAGAAAGAAGGATTTGCCTTAAAAGAGCATCACACAATTGAGTAATGGGATTAATGGTGGGGATAAAAACTGTATTGACTAAATTGTGAGATTAGTATCTTCCCTCAGTATAGCTTTGTGTACTGAGTTGCACCATCCAGATTTTTGGACTGCCTGAATTAAACTGCTTTATTTATGGTATCCCCTGCAAAAATCATACACAGCTCAAAATAAGAAATTCAAACCTCATTCTCTGGGGTTTTTTTATTACAGCACATAGTATCTCATTAGAAAATATGCTGTCTCATGCATTACCTGTAGGAGCAAAATGCAATAATTTCTATTTGGACGACTAGCATCTTGTGTGGTTCAGCACTTAAGTGCCTTTCATAGTGGCACTGTGAGTGCTTAGAACCATCGGGTAGCCACAGTTTGCAGCCTCCCTGTACTATTTATTTTACTTGATTTCAATAAATCACTCATGAAATATTACTGAAAAACATTCCCAGTTATAAAAATTATATCTCTGCCCAGGCAGACTGACCACCCTCTGTCTTGTGGGGGAAGATCTAGTGGTGGGTCTTACCCTTCCCATTCAAATAATGGGTAGTTTTTTCTGTCTTGTGGCAGTCCAAAACATGATGCTTCAGTAAATTTATGTAAATTTATCACTAAAAGAAACTTTGAATTCAGATTCACAGCTTCTTTCCAGTACAATATTCTTTACATTGTATTGAGGCTGCCTAGGGAACAAGAGCATCTGTATGTTTTCATGTTTGGGGCTGTCTCAATAAGAAGACAAGGCAGAGACTTTTGTCTCTGAACCATCAAATTGTGTGTAGTTTTAAGCCTAAAAATATTGTCTTTTTTTTATCCAAAGCAGCAAAAGAAAATCAAGGACAGATTAATCTTCAGTGTGTCAATCCCTTTGATAAATACCATTTGTGTTCTAAATAAAATGCCCCAAATGGAGCTGTTAGCCAAAATAATATTAGGGAAATATGCACAGGAGCGGCCTGGATATTTCAGCTGTCTACACCTTATGAGTATTTTATCTAAAACTTCCCTCTAGTTCAAATATATAATGAGTAACACACTCAAGAATATCTGGAAGTATTATCCCCACTGCCAAAAGCAGTACTTTTCACTACTAAATACTTTCCACAAAGGTTTTTACTAATCCTTTTCCATGCTGTTTAAAAGAGCATGCAGGAGATGCAGGAATAAGCCCTAGAAAGCCCCACTGTGATTGCATCAATGATTGCAAATGCCGTTCTTTAATCAAGGGAGAATTTCCCCTTGTACAGCTTCTGCATTAAATATGTACAGATTTTCCCATCCTATCCTACAACACCAGCATGAGGGATATGGAGACTGGAATTAGGAAGAGCTTCTACACAAATTCAGACATAGCCAAATCATCCATGGGTTTCCTTTCAAGCTGTTTCAGCTTATGTTTGCCCTTAACAAATAATCCTTAAGTGAGCATTTTACCTTCCCTTGGGATTTCACCTGTCTTTGTCTTTTAGCAGCAAGTTTCAACACACAGTTTCAGCTAGCTATGTAACACTTGACTAACCTAGATATCTTTTTAGCGAGCTGTGGCCTGGCGTGAGGATCACATATGCTTTATGAGAGAGCTGTCAAAACCTTTGTTCTGCCTCCCCATCACTAAATAGCCATTAGGGTACCACACACTATGTATCATGTTATCTTTTTTCTATGTCCTTCTTATCTATTGTTCAAGATCTGCAAAGGTTATCCATATTTGTTGCTGCAACACCCCCCATAAATTGAAAAGCGTACACATACGAAACACTCTGTTAGTGAAGTTGTTTGGTGGTGCAGAGCAAAAGTAAAGCAAGCTGTAAACATGCATAGCAGATTTATAAAACAGATTCTGACAATCAAATGCAGAAAAAAATATGAATATTTTTTTCTGGAGATATCTTAGGATGTTGTTGCTTGCCAAAAGCAGTCAATGTTCCATTTACATGCAATTGCAAATAAAGAAATATAAATAGACACACAGATGTCAAAATCGATTCCACTTTATAACCTGGAAGCACCACATAATTATTCATTCATTTCAAACCTCTTCACAAAACTGCAGTGACTAATAACTAATTTTACCTGTTTGTTTTAGGAAAGGCATGTTTAGAAAGCAAATCCTCCAAGTTTCAAAGTCCTAAAAACTTGTGAATTGTTGTACTGGATTATTTTAGTTGCTTTGTGGTATTTCTAACTATTGCTTCCCTTTTAACGATTCTAACTAAGCCATTTTCTCTTAGCTAGTTACCTATGAAATTAGACTTCAGAATATTATTTACATTTTCTTTTAGGTGTATCTCAGTTTATTATTTGTTTTCTTTAGTTTCCTATTTGCTTTTTGGTTGTTTTTTTGCTATTTGTGGTTCTCTAAAGGCCATAAGAAATACATCAATAAAATCTCACTCTTCTGTAGGATATGCAGAGATGAACTCAGTTTCAAAATATATCCACAGAATTTTTTTGCAGATTTTTTTACACAGCATTTTAGCATTAATTACAAAACATTAGCACATTAGGCCTTTCTGAAGGGAAGGGCAATCCCACTGAATTTCAAGCTGAATGCTAGCCCAGCACCATAGTGAATCTTAACCTTAAGCTGAATTCCTCCCTGCATGCCAGGACGTGGGATCCCAGAACACAGTGGTCCTCTGACTTAACAGGCACAAGCACAGCAACATTTCTGTCATTACACAGTGTCACTAAATTGGAACTTGCATGAGTTTGGGTTCAGGAATTCAGCTGATAAAAGTGGTTTCAGACTCCTACCTGAACCATTTGTTCAGCCTTTTTGTGTGGATTCAGAAGGGATCTTCAAAGAAAAATCACTGTAGCTACACCATCTGGTGCTCTGACCATATTTGCATTTTTGACAGAGCTTCCCTTAATACTGTGACTAGTGTGGTTTGATTTTTTCCAGCTGCAAACAGTATTTTGGAGTTTCTTAGAATGGTCCATGAACGTTTTATATTCAGTTTGCAGGCAGGTTAAAGAACCAAGGAGAATCAGTTAGGTAATGGCTATGTTTTGTCGTGACCGGAGTGCAAATGGATAGGTGTGGCATGCAGTTCAGAGAGCACTGCTGGCACTTTAGCAATCACCTCTGTAGCACAAAGGACTGTAACAAAAAGTCAGTTATGATTCAGCAGTCGCAGTAAGCAGCTGCAACGTCAACTTGGGACAAGCAAATTATTTCGGAATCAAGCAAGTATCACTTTCTTGCAACAGCACATATATAATATATCATAACTGTGATTCACAGTGAAGCTTCTAAGTTTCCATTCTAACCTTTTTCATTTAAGAGATTTAAAAATTCATCATTAAAATTAGTTAAACCAAGTTCTCAAGCAAAGAACTTACCAAAGAAAATATTTAAATTAATATCCTTGAGTCCAGTAAGGCTTTCAACACTGTCTCTCACAATATTCTCAAAGGCAAACTCAGGAGGTGTGGACTGGATGAGCGGACAGTGAGGTGGATGGCATGCTGGCTGAATGGCAGATCCTAGAGGATTGTAATCAGTGACACAGGGTCTACTTGGAAGCCTGTCACTAGTGGTGTCCCCCAAGTTTCAGTACTAGGCCCAATATTATTTAACTTATTTGTCAATGACTTTGATGAAGGGGCAGATGCCTCCTCAGCAATTTCACTGACGACACAAAGCTGGGAGGAGCGTCCAAAACCCCAGAGGGCTGTGCAGACCTTCAGAGGGACCTCAACACGTTGGAGAGATGGGCAGAGAATTGTCTGAAATTCAGTAAAGGCAAAGGCAGGGTCCTGCACCTGGGGAGGAATAATCCCAGGTACCAGTATAGGCTGGGGGCTGATCTACTGGTGAGCAGCACTGTGCAGAAGGGGGTCCTGGTGGACAACAAGCTGTCCATGAGCCAGCAGTGCCCTTTTGGCCAAAAAGGCCAATGGTATCCTGGGACCCATTTGGAAGAGCATTGCCAGCAGGTAGAGGAGGGTGATCCTGCCCCTCTACTCAGCCCTGGAGTGGTCACACCTGCAGTGCTTTGTCCAGTTCTGGGCTCCTCAGTACAAGAGAGACATGG